ATTGCTCATCACCTTCATCAGCTTAATTACAATCAGGACCTTTGGACTACCAAAACTGACTGGCCACCTCCCATTGACTCCCAGCAATCACAGGAGGAACGCTTACAGATATCCAAATTAACACGGAGAAAACTAATGCAACAGCCCCAATGGGATGGATTTCTCCACTCTGAATGGAAACAACTGAATCGCTACCACAAAGTTGGTATGTTTGGCAACCCAATCCCAGCCACACCAGATATGACAGTCCTACCGTGGGTCTGGACCTATATCGAAAAGGAGAACCCTCTCACCGGCCTTAATGAACCTAAGTCTCGAGGCACATGCAATGGGGGCAAAAGATACGGCAAAGCAGTCACACTGGCTGAAACATATGCGGCTTGTGTGGAACAACCGATCCACAGACTGACATGGGCCCTTGCCGCTGCACTGAACCTAATCTGTGTCGGCTATGATGTTGGAAATGCCTTTGCAGAAGCCCCAGCCCCTAAATCACCATTCTACATGAAAGTTGATGCGCCCTTTCAACAGTGGTGGTCTGAATGCCTTCATCGTGACCCCATCCCACACGGACACGTAATTCCCATTCATAAAGCCCTCCAGGGCCACCCTGAAGCCCCAAGACTCTGGGATAAGTACATTTCCAAGATCCTAATCGAAGAACTCGGATTCAAGCCTACAACGCATGAACCCTGCTTATACTATAAGCATGATCACAATGGCCTCACTCTTATACTCCGCCAAGTCGATGATTTCCTAATACCCAGCGCTGACACCACCACCTGTGATAAGATAAGAGAACAGATACAGCAACGTATGACCAATCCACTTAACGTTCTTGGAACTATCCGGAAATTCAATGGGATTCATGTGGACCAAACCCGTCACTTTAACCATCTCCATTGCAGTGCCTATATCGAAAAGATAACAGCTCACCATGGCTGGACAGACACAACAAAACTGCGGAAACGCCCCACACCATTCAATGAATCTCCGGCATACCAGAAGGCAATACAACTTGAAAAAGGCCCTACTGATCCCCTTGAAGCCATACGTCTTCAAAATACTGCAGGATTCAACTACCGACAGTGTATAGGGGAACTCATCTATGCCCTCACAATATGCAGAATAGATATCTCCATTGCTGTTATTACACTGAGCCAACACTCACACTGCCCAGCGAAGATACACTATGAGGCTATTAAACACTTATTCCTGTATCTCCTTGCCACCAAAACAGAGGGCCTCACTTACTGGCGCCCTGAACCTCGCCCTGACTTACCAACAAAGCCAGCACCAACACCATACTCAAAGCTATCCAACCTTGACAAATTCTATCAGACACAGGACCCACTCCAAATACACGGATCCTGTGACACCACTTGGGCCTCAGATCGATTACAGAGGAGATCAATGGGTGGTGTTATTATGATGCTGGCAGGAGCTGCCGTATACTATCGAACAAGACTCCAACCAACAATAGCTCAAAGCTCCACAGAAGCTGAATTCACTAACATGGCAGATGCTGGGAAAGCAGCCCTATATCTTAGATGGATTCTCCATGAATTACAGCTCCCACAGACACACCCAACACCCATATTGGCAGACAACCATGGCGCTATAAGAATGGCAAACGCCCACCAACCAACTAGACGTACTCGGCATGTTGAGATGAAACACTTTGTTATACTACAATGGACTGATGATGAACACATTCAATTCATTAAAACACGGTCAGATGAAAATTACAGTGATTCACTGAGCAAACCAACCGGTCGAACCAAATTCTATGAACACAGTGATATATTCATGGGACGTGTTCAACCCAACTATACATACTTCGACGACTCTCGTTTGTCAGGCACACAACAACCCACTATTAGTAAGGATAACACCACAAATAACGTGGTACACCACACAACATATTGCTCCACTTGCAATCTAAATCCTCTTCAGGATCTCATTTTTGACTCCTTCGATCCTTTAGATTGTGCAAGTGCGGGCGGGTGTGAGCCTAACACACGTAGATCAAGTAAATCACGAGTGAGTAGTGAATAACTCACCACCTCCACTCACTCTTTATTGTAAACACGTAGTTATACAGCACTAAAGAGTACATGTACATTTCGCACTGCCTCACAGTGTGCAATAAAAAAAAAGACGAGGGGAAAGGTGGCTCGCTATGATTTTTGGGAAAAACTTCTCACAAAATCCTCTCTGTAAACATGTGGTTTACGAAATGGTTTGATAAGAATTTAGAATTTCTCACAGCATGTACCGTAAATCATCTAGAACCGACTGCAAACGAAAGATGGCCATCCATTCCTGTCGATTTTCGTTGCTCCGAAAGAATAAGAGAGGATAAATCACAGCAAGAAGATACATTGTGTCTTTGTTCAGGTGGTGTCTGTTGGGTGCTGTGAATAGGGCCAGACCCTACAAGATGGATCGGTTTGGTGTGTCGCGATGCGCTTTATTTACTAGCATTATGTTAAAAGAAGGAATTGAAAAGGTACCGGTTATTCTCGGAGCAATCCCGGGAGAGGGGAGGGTCTCCGGTCAGTATTGTTATTATTTACTCYTCCCTTCATCTCCAAAAAAAGAGAACGGAGGAAAACAAAGGATGGAAGGACGAAAGAACTTCGCACAATCCAAAAATTATGACACTCCTGTACTGCATATTGCGAGACTTTGATGCAAGAGCATGGTAGAATCATATTTTTTCTGTGGCAGTAAATGGTGGGGAATTGCCATGGGTAGGGGATCTTGGGTATCGCTGGTAAAATTGCAATCATTCTACTGACTTGATTCATTAATAGCCGTCCATGCTAGCTATCGGCACGCATGTTCAATGGCATCCCGATCCTTAGTCGGCAGATGCGGTGGGTGCTTTTTCTTCCTCCTTGTTGGCATCCACCGTTCTTTGCATGGGGTCATGGCTGGCTCGTTCGCGGCCCTGACGCCACGACTGCAACGAACCCCACAAATTTCTTCCTGCGGCAAGCCCTGCCGTCGTAGCAGCTACCGTTGTTTTCGTGAGCGATACCAAGAAATTGCCGTCGGGGATTTTCGTTTTCGCAGGGACGGGGATAGGATCGTCTCGAGATTTGACACGTTTGTCATTGTCGTTTGGGTCGGCCGGCGCATGGTCCTCGGTCGCTCGGAGCGTTTGCTCCCGGTGTTGTTGCTGCTGCTCGATTTGTTTTTTGAGCAACGAGACTCGGGATTGGAGTTCGATTATTTCTCGCTGCTGTTTCTCCAACTGCGGTTTCCGGTTGTCTGTTTGCTGTTGTTCTCGATCTACCACGTGTCGTTGGGTCGGTGGAGAGATTTTCAGCTCGTCGTTTGTACTACTTTGCACGCCGACGCCCTTTCCTGCCCCGTGATCATGGGCGTGTTCTGGTGACGGTGTCGATGTCAGTTGTGGTGCCGTAAACAAGGAAACWAGCGATCGGACGGRTTTGTACAAGGACGCCAAGGACACCGTCTCGTCGAGAGTGCTTCTATTGTTGTTTGCGCTACCAATCGGTGTCGGAGAGGAGGATTCTTTGCTGCCATCTTGTTCCTGCAGCAAACCGCGCATCTGTTCTTCTTGCCGTTGCCGCATGGATGACATTTTTCTCGTGTCGCCCTGCTCGTCGCCGGTGGCAATCCCCCCTTCCCCTCCTCCTAGGGTTACTACGGTCGCCCCGTTTTTCCGTTCTTCGTTCGCCTCCCTCATCCTCGGTTTCAMAACCAATTCGCAGTACAGAGCTATGAGAACGGCGGGGCTCGATGCCAGCACGAGATTCCAGAACCACCAGTTTGCGTCCATCACCATGCCATTGCGATGGAAGCTCCTGCCACTGCTGCTGCTGCTGTCACTCCCTCCGGCGGAGGCGGCGGCAGGATTTCGGAGCGACGTGTAGGTTTCTTGTACGGCGGCGCGAGCAATGTCGAGGCCCGAATTCAACCGGTCGACCAATTCTTCCGGGGATTTGACCACTATGCGGTTGGCGTCGATGGCATCGATGAAGGAATCGATGGTTGTTTCGTGCTTGGAAGATGTTCCAACCGAGGGCCGGGCGGACAACCTCAATCGGTCCTTCGTCGTGATTCGCTTGGTCGATGGCGACGAGACCAATGCTTTTTTCTTTCGCTTCTGCCTTCGTGGCTGKCTCGCGCTCGCATCGGTTGCCTTTGCAGTGACAAACCGGCGGTCGCGGTAGCGATTTTTTGGGGCTTCGATCCGCGGCGGTGGCGCTGCACGCTTGGAAGCGCAAGACACCAACGGGCCGTTCGCGGCATCGTACCACGAGCTGCCGTGGAACCACCGGCTCTGCGGAAGCTCGAACCGACGCGTGGGGTGGCAGCCGGAGTGGTGGGTGCTATTCTTGGTTCTCGCCGTCGCCGCCGCCGCTGCCAGGCGCCGCTTCATCGCGCTGTTTCTCTGGCTGTGCAAACCTCGGATTTGCGTCGTGGTTTTGGTCGGGGGAAGAATCTCAGACACAAATGAAGAAGTCAAGAATCCGCCTAAAGATAACMAGTGTCTCGTATTGATGGTATTAGTAGCAACTAGTAACAGCAGTGGTGTGGTTTAGAGGTATTTGGGTAAATGAGAAAAATTTGACACCCCGGGAATTGCCAATAACTTGCCACTACGGGACTTACCATTAATAGTCCTAGTAGGTATGTTACTTGTAGTACATTTACTTGTAGTACGTACAGGAAGTAGAAAGTAGAAGTAAGTAATCGTTGAGATTTGCGATGCAATTTTTTTGTTTTCGATGGTCTGTCGAAAAACATAGTGAGAAATTTGTCGGATCGAAGAGTGAACAGAGTTGTCTTCGTCTCTTTCTCTCTGTGCCCTTTTCCCCATCGTTCCGAGGCTACTCACTGTGACCCGCTTCTCCGTCGTCCCGTGTAGGAAGCAGGGAACAACATTCCTCTCTCATTCTTCGTTCCGGCAGGATACGAGTACTATACACAAGCATACACCGGTACACCCCGTTACACGGCACGGCAAGGCAACTCCGACGTCGAGGATCGAATCCACAACACCGGCACGCACCGTATTTCTTGGTAGCGATTCTCGGAGCGAGCACTGCCTTGTGAAACCATTGATGAAAAAAACACAACAAACCAGCAGCACAGACCCGTAGCACATGCCCGTCGCACCCCGGGAGAAAGAACGCACCCGCCATGAACCCCGGCGATGCCGCTTCCGCGGTCAACTCGGCATCGACCCCGGCCACCGGCAATGAAGGAGAAGGGAGCACGGACTACAACACCTACGAAGACGACCACAAGCCCCTCCCCCTGTCGGATTTTGCGGCGTACCGGAGCCTCGTGGCCACCCTGTACCGGACGTCGGTCCCGGTGATCCTCGGGAACTCCCTGGAGTGGCTGGACTTTGGGATCTATGGGTACAGCAGCACCGAGATCTCCGGCCAGCTGTTTGGRGGATCGAGGCGGGCCTACTGGGCGTCCTTCGGGCTAGGCTTTGCTTCCCGGCCGGTGGGGGCCCTGGTCCTGGGCAAGCTCGCGGACGAGACCTCGCGGAAGCTCTCCTTTGCCGGGAGCGTCCTGGCCATGTCGGGATCGACCGCGCTTATGGCGGCGATCCCGGCCGTCTGCGGCGCAACCGGACCGCCTTCTTCCTCTKCTTCGTGGTATTGCGTGTCGAACCCACTGGCCGCTTCGGTCCCGGCGGTGGTCCTCCGGTGCGTACAGGGGTTTTCCGCGGGGGCCGCCGCCGGCAATGCGAACGTCCTCCAGTCGGAGCTGTGGTCCACGACCGACCGGAAAGGGGCCATCGCGCAGGCGGTGGGGGTCCAGAACGCCAGCGGGGGGACCGCTTCGGTCCTCGCTGCCGGTCTCGTCTACGGCCTGAGGGCGGCGGTGGGGGAGGACGCCTACGCGGTGTGGGGCTGGAGGCTCGCCATGGTGGCGGTCCTCCCCCTTGGCCTGGCGGCGGGCTTTCTGGTGGCCCACGGCCGGGTTCCCGAGTCCGATGCCTACGCGGAATCGGACGGGGGGCGCACCATGGGGGAAGGCGGCGCCCTGCTGCTCCGACGTGGCGGGGGAGGCGAGGACGACGACGACGACGACGACGCGAGACCGACGATCGAGCTCTCGGAGAGTCGGGGTGGCGGAAGCGGAAGCAGCGAACAGAAGGTTTTGGGGGAAGACACCCCCTTTCATTTCACCGGTGGAGGGGCGCGAAAGGATCCACCGCCGCGGAGACCCCCATCCGGGGAAGCCGGGTTGCTGGTTGCCACCCACGCCACCCCGTGGTGGCTGCTGGTCTCGGTCCTGGTGGTGGCGCAGTCCGCGATTGCGGGCTTCAACAATCTCGGGGTCTTCCTGGTCGAGTTTGCCCAGACCGACTTTGGGGCCACCGCCGGAAYGGCCACCCTGATGCAGGTGGCGGGAAAGACCGTCCAGGTCCTTTCGACACCCCTCGCCGCGGGCCTGGCCGACACCAGGGGCTGCTTCTGGACCTGCGCCCTCGGCGGGACCCTCTGCACCTTCCTGGCCCTGCCGCTGATGGTGGCTGGGAGGCTCGGGGGGATCGCCGGGGCGTGGGTCCTGGTGGCGGGCTGCCTCCCGGTCGTCTCGACTCTGTGGATCGGGAACGCCCCCCTCCTGGCAACCTCCCTCTTTCCCACCAGCTGCCGGAGCCGCGGAACGGGCCTGGTCCTCGCCGCCGCGGCCGGGATCCAGGGATTTCTGCCCCTCGCTTTAGAGCGGATCGGGAATCCCTACGCCCAGGGGGCGGCACTGACGGTCCTCGCCGCGGTGGGGACGCTCGGGATCCTCTGGATCCGCGGGGAGGCCGCGGCCGGGAGGGTCACCGTCTACCAGCGGCCGGAGCTCTGCTAGACCGAAACGAACGAAACAAAACAAAACGAAACAAAACAAAACGAAACCAGTCCGGGAAAGCACCGGCATCGGCCCATTGTTCCAATAACATGTAACTGAAAAAAATGTAGTGTAAAACATAGACCCACAGAACAAACACTCAAATTCTCTGCTTGTCTTTGGATTTTGGACTTAGCAGATAGAGAGTCGGTGCAGTGAAAGCTACGAAAGGGTCTATTCTAGAGAGCTTTTGTGGGAATGTATGGAACCGAAAAGCAGATCACAGAGGAGCATGGTGCCCGGCCGTGCCAAAGCCACCGTGCCGTGCCGTCTCGGTGGACAGATTAAACATCGCGATGGATTCATTGCCAAGGATCGTCGTCCCCGGTTCGATCGGATTCGGAGCTCCAGTCGAAGGAGATCCCACCCGTGACGTCCCCCCCCGTCACTTCCAGGGTTGCAATCCTGGCTTCGAGCTCCAGGRACTCCCCGATGGCCCGGTCGATCCACTCGCTTCGCTGTTCGGCCCGACCCGGAGGCGGCAGCCGCCGGGACGCCCAGAAGACAGAGGCGTTGATCTTGTTGAGCGCGTAGCTGGTCGCCACCATTGTTTCGATCGCCAGAAAGTGCCACGGCTTGAGTTTCAGAACCTCAAGCGCCACGGCCCGCGAGTCTTCCAGCTTCCCCTCGAGGCAGTAGAGCTTGGAGAGGAGCGCAAAGGCCTGCAGGAAGGTCGGATCCTCTCCGCAGAGGCTCTCGAGAACCTCCCGGGAACGCTCCCAGGACGACGGATCCCCGATCCCGAGCGCCGCTTCGCGAAAGCGCTCGCCGCGTTCGTGTTCGGTTTCGTGTTTGTCGCCGTCGCGGTAGTTCCGCGGCTGCGCGCGCCAGAAATCGCGGAGCTCCCCCACCGCGTCGTCTCCGTCACGGAGTGCTTCTAGGAGCGACCGTTCGGTGGCACGGCGCCGTGATTCTTCGGCCGAGACCAGGACCCCCCTGGGCAGCTGGCGCGGCAGGAGCACGCCGGGGCTTCGCGGGCTTTTGCCGGTTGGCAACCGGACCGTGTCGTCGCCATCGTCGTCGTCGTCGTCGCTGCCAGCAGAGGGATCCGCGATGCCCCCTGGTTCCTCGCCATTATCCTCGCCGCTGTTTTTGGCAAAGGCGTTGAGAACCGGAATCGAATGCATCTTCCCTTTCGCAAGACCGCGCCGTCCACAAGTCGCCTGGGGTCCGAGAAATCCGATCGAAAACGACTCCCAAGATAGACACACGACGAACGTGCAACAAATGCGCCGTTTTCTGGCAGGCAGCGCCACCATTATCGTCTTTCTTCGTTGATTTTATTTCMCCCAGCCGATTCGAATCAATATTGCAAGCAAGACCGCTCTTCTTGTTTTCCTCGTCCCCTTTGGAGTCGTCGAGAGGAAATCATCCATCGCACGATGATGAATGAGTAACAGATTAGAAGTACTCGTACTTCTAATAGATTCGCTTATGGTGCGAGATTTGGAGAAGGTACCGTACCTACCGGTACGTACCGTATCGTTACGGGTACGAGTAAGGTATCTTTCTCAGTTCAATCATGTTTTGATTTTGGTCACGAACGAAGAAAGCATTGGTCGCACACCATAGTGGAGCGTTTGGAAGCATAGAAGGCATACTGTAGGGGTCCGAGGGAATCTTTGACATGCATTTTTTGAATTTCCAGTATGCAGTTTGTAGATTTTTTTTGTTCTGGTAAACTTAAGATCAACAGAACAAGAGTAAGTGAAGATTTGCATTCATAATTCCTAAAAATCCAATTTACAAACAATGGTATAAGGTATTGGTAGCCACAGCACAATTTTTTTCTGACAGGCAACAAGAGTCAACACCTTGAATAACTTCTTTTCAGCCAGTGATGAGGACTACTTCAAGAACAATGGACATTTGCTGGTACCTCTGTTGCTCGTAAGAGCTTTTATGTATTATCATCGAACATTTAGAGCGGTGAGTCCTTACCCGGAAATACCCTGCTTTCGTTGAAGCGATAAATATATTGATTTATAACCTATTAAAATGTGAACAACGAGACTCGTGAAAAAAGTAATTCATCTTCTACCTTGCAGTCGTCGCGAGTTAGCCACTGCTTGCTCCTAGATGATTGTGAGCCGGTTCGTTTCACGGATTGCGCGACAAATGGTTTTTATCCAAAAACCCCGCGTTCAACCAATTCAAAAGCGATGGCACTTCCCATCGTGGCTCCTATCTGGTGCCAAGTGCCCATGACGCGAACTGCGGATGTCGGTGTTCCATTACTAGTATCGCCATTTTGGGAGCCACAATGGTTATCGTTCAACAGGTGAAACCAAGCAGTGTTGCAATATCCATAGGCGCCATTTAACAAAGCATTCAGAACGATCGGTATTCCAGCTCCACACKCAAGATCGTTTTCAAAAGATAGRAAGACCAAAGGAATCCACAAGAAAAAGAAAATGAATCCCAGCTGGTACGGAGCTGCACTGTGGTTGTTGTCGCTGTCGGGTCTCCGATAGCAGAATGATGCTCGAGCACCGCTGCTGCCTCCAGCGCCCGAAGATGCCAGCACTCCCAGAGTTTGTGCTACGAGTTGCGACACGACGAGGTAACGCAAAGAAGTGGTGTTGTAGTTCTCGTCCTTGCTCGAATCCCGAACCGAATAGGGAACAATTCCGGGAAGAAAAAAGACCAGAAAATTCAAGGCGCACTGGGCAGTGTTCAGTGTAGAATTCAGAGACGATACTTCCCAGAATGACAAGGAAACATCAGCTGCCTTTTGAAAAGACCTCCGATGTAGAATCGTTTCGGTATTGCCCGGCTGCAGATAGTTTTCTTCCAGAAGGGGCAACGATTCGAGGGCTGATTGTGTTTTGTTGTTGTTTTCACTTTCGAGAATTTTTGGCGTGGTGTCGCCAAACCGACGGATCACGAGCGTTCCCAGGAATCCAACGATAGCAAACCACATCAAAACCAAGATTAATCTAAAGTAGGATCGCATTGAAGCGGTTGCTTGTGCTCGTTCCGATATCTGTTGACGCTGTTCTTGTTGCTGTAAAATTGCCACCAGAGCAACGAAGAGGTTTGAAACAGCTGTTCCGAACAACATCGCGGTCGTCTGCCTTTTTGCGGTATTTGTTTTGGATGAAACAGCACTAGCAGCATGCGGATAATACAAGATCGAAGATGTTGTTCCTACGATTCCAGCGGCAAAGCTCGCGACCAACATCGGAGCCAATCGGGAGAGTATCTGTTCGGTCCATATTGTTAATACCAAACTCGTCACAAATCCCAGCGACAGGACCAGCGTGATCCCGGTATGAATAGAACGTTCGTGTTCATCAATACCACTGGTGCTTTCGGTGCCACCCATAGAAGCGCATATTGCGTTTATGTTACAAACATTCAATTTCGAACACACATGGTTTGCACTTGTTAAGGATCCGAAGGATGAAACGGACCCAAAAATAGGCAGCAGAGCCGAAAGCGTGACGCACAATGTGATTTTTGAAACGACTCCGTAGTCCCCGTCAAAGAACAAAATTATGAACGGAATTTGGACGTAGATCCCGTTGACCAATATCCAAGCCGATCCTCCAAGGAAGAAGAAACACACATCATTGACAGCCAACAAAAATCTTCTTTCGACGTCTCGTGACGAGGAAGATGGCATTATATTGCAGATTCCCTCCACCTAATCTCCGCTTCATAGCGTACCGTAGTCCTCTTATTTCGAAAGGGCTGCTGTCTACTGTAGCTGGTATTCAAAACCTTACTACGCGGCGTTTTACAGCGCATTCCAAATAATGTTACAGTATCTTTACATTCTTAATGTTAGGACCGTAGGCCTTCGTAGAAATGAGTACTATGGTTTTCCGGTTTTCCTTTATTTTGATGCCACTTACCATTTCGAATGTTCTTCGCAGGCAAGGCGTCCTTCTTCCTTCTTCTTCCTCTTTTGGGAAACAAGACCAAAACAATTGCCTCTACGAAAATGCCATGAAAAGAAGAAGAGAGGAGGACCTCGGTATGGTGGTAGAAAGACCAATCGCAAAAGTGTTATGCTCGTTACTAGACAACATCGAGAGCATGATGAAGCTTTGCAAAACAAGGAGGAAGAGTTGAAGACGATAGCAATACTACTAGTATCTACTAGAGGCAATATACAAGAATGATGTTTTTTGCAGTAGCATTGGAATTGATACAAAGCTACCACGAAGAAAGAGCTACCAATCAGACAAGCAGCCAGGATATCAACTACAATGATTCTGATTATAGCAATGGGAAGGAAACAAGAAGCAGAGATTCATGTGACTGCTGAACAATACACCATGGAACATCCAATATTTAAAAGAACGGAACTGCAGCATACTAATGCAGCAATTTTGCAAAAAGAATATTGGAATCACCTGTGAGGCTAAATCCTGCGTAGCTAGTGAATAAGCTCACTCCTCTATTGTAAATCACATATTAACATGCAGTACTAGGGAGCCCATTAACATTCGCAGGTTGTGAGCCTCGCATCACCACCATTGCTGTGATTTTTTTTAAATGGTAGTAGCCCACCAGAGACTGAATGGGAGAAGAAGAATACTGTGAAGGAACTAGTACTGCTATGAAGGAAGCTAAGCAAGAATGGAAAGAGGGAAAGCACAACTTTGGTACCACCATCAAGATTGTTTTGCATCAGGTGCTTGCTGTTTGCTGATGGTGAGAAAACAATTTATTCTATACTACTACTACTAGTAGTAGTAGAGATGGGGATTATGGCAATGTTGGTTGTCCAGTGATCTTGGAACCATATGGTATAGAGGCAGAAAGAATTGCAGATGCTTGTGATCAGGCCAACTACTAACCACCAGTACTATCAGCTTCCTACTGCCTTGTATGGGGCTAGTATTCAGGACATTGTTATTCTGGATCTGTTGATTGCTACTAACAGTATTTCATGTCTGCTGCTGGGGACTTGAAACCAGTATATAATACTACTTTAGCTACTCTACCAATAATAAACAGTACTAGAAATGACACTTGTAATCCATAGATGTTTGTTACATTTGTACTTTCTTTGGCTCAAACCAGATGAATGATGATACTGCTGGTGCTAGA